TTAAAGGGTGAAACACCAAACCAGCCATGTGTCATACAATATTTGTCACAACAGTATCACACTTGTGCCTCACTGATGAGTTTTAATGAAATTTACATAATTGTTTTGGATGTTTAAAAACACATGAAGGGAAATTACCCAATTTTTTATGAGGATCATGATCCTGCAAGAAACATCACCGACATTTGTTGACAAGGCATGGCTTTATTTCATACTGATCAAAAAAGTATTTTACTCTTGACTCACTATAGAAAGCTTTTAATTATTGTTTCATACATAACAGAGAATCCCTATGAAAAAATCATTTTCCATACATACTTTCTAAGCACTTATTGAAAGGATACTACTTTTTCTACTCCATGTAGTGTAAACCAGGATGAAAATAATGTTTAGAACGTTCAGCTTGTTATTTGAACTAGTTAGTTTTTAGAGCAGTGGATTTGCATTGGTGAGAGATTTAAATAGTGAGTAAGGAGGTTGAAAATTATTCGCTTCAAATAAACTGCTAGCAGCTTGCCATCTGTAAAGGTGAGCCATTAATCTGCTGACTAAACATGCATTGTGTGTGTACACAATGGCACTCAGTGGGTTATTGAAAATGAATCAGTGGGAGAGGTCAGGAATGTTAGGCAAGTGATTTTTATGTGGGTTCAGTCACTAATTTTGTTTTAGTAAACTACTGAGTCATTTTTGTACCTTCTTTGTTAATCTTTACATCACATAAGTGCTAAAATAGTTCAAGGGAAGAATAATTATTTGTTTTGTTTTGTGATGGCATCTTCATGTTCAGAAATAACGCATGAGTACATGCTGGGATAAGTGCAAGTGCAGCTTTTTTGAAGTGTGTGCACTGCATAGCTGCAGAAAGTCATTGATGTAGACCATAGAATGAACAGGGGCATGTGTGTAAGCAGAAGCTGGGGAGAGTGGAAAGCACATCGGCCGGGAGAGTGAGAAGCACGTCAGCATACACTGCTCCAAACAGGCTTCGCCGAGAAATTAATAGGGGGAGCGTTTATTAAAAAAGTACATTAAAAAAACAAGTGAAGTTATGGTGAGCAACCTCGAACTGTGAATACTGTATAATCCAACACTAATGTGTATAAAATGTTCCTGAAATAATAAGTTACACCTACATATAAGGCTATTAAAAGGCCAATGGGGCCTTGGCTGCATAGCTAGAGGGATAGAATATAAAAGTGAGGAGGTGATGCGGAATTTACACAAAATCTCGCTTAGAACATACTTGGAGTATTGTGTCTATTTCTGGCCTACACACTATGGGAAGGTTACAGCGTAGCTTTACGAGGATGATACCAGGGCTAGCAGGGTACTGCTATCAGGATATACTGGTTTGGTTGGGCCTATATAGCAAAATCTGAATGTTATAAACGGCAGCATTGATTTCATAGCAAACCCAAACTGGTCTGAAACAAAAAGAAGTCATTTCTTCAAATCAGTGATCCTGTCCGTCATAGGCTTCCTTTAGAGTCAATTCTGTTTGTTAACATTCCAAATAGTTTGATTGGAAATACAGTGATGAGCTCCTCCATTAGTCCTGTAGTAAAAGCATTCATCAATGAAGTACGAGGTCATACAGTCCGGAAGGTTATGTGGTCTAATCTCAATTAGCTGGTTTCAGGATCACGCTTGGTGGTGTGCTGTGGATTCTCCCCCCCCCCCCCCCCCCCCCACCCCTCCCCCAGCTACTCTCCCTGCATGTTGTAAAGCCTGCCAACACACACTCTCAAACCACATGCATGAATCCTGGAAACCCATGGAACCATATCCTAGCAGAAAGAAGAAACAGCAGCTTTGGAGGAGGGAGAAAATTGTAAAAGAAAGCTTGGCAAGGAGAGACATTCCCAATGATAAATTATTATTTTGTTGTGTTAAACATTAACCAATAAAGATTCTCATTACAGTGCAATATGAAATTACATATTACCCATTGTCTTGGGCTACTTGCTACTTGTTTATTGGGTATATAAACGGCTTTAAAACTTCATGCTTAACCACCATAAAATAGCGGGTTTCCATGAATGTCAAGGCAAGATAAATGCAAGACAATTTAGAATTATTCAACTATTTGCAATACATTTTCAGTCTCATGTTTGCCATAGTGATTAACAAGGGCTGCAGCATATTATTGAAACAGAAACTCTTTCTGGGAAATTTGAATCTATGTTTTTTTTATATATATACATATATATATAAATACGTGTGTTTGGGGGGGGGGGCAAAATCACTAGCTACAGACAAATGGTGTCAATGCATTGTATGCAAATATGATTAATTTCCTCTATCGACATAATTTATGATGATTGCCTCTTCCTCTTTTCCTCTTAAAAAAAAAGGAGTGAAGGCATTGTAAAAATCTGAGGGCTAGTTGTTTTCTGTCAGTCTGCAGCTAATGATTACTGCTGGGGAAGTACTCCAGCGAGAGAGTGCTGAAAGGAAAGCAGAACCATGGGATTTTACTGCAGACATGGTGAGATCAACAAGAAGGACTGCAATTACCAAGATCCTTTGCCTGGTTCCACACACATCATGGTGGTTGTAATGTAAATGCTGATTTTGCACAATTCAGTGCCATGGTAGATTGAATACTGAAGTGCCAGTGCCAGTGTGCAAACGTGTGCTGCAGTGTATAGATAATCTGTGGCATATTCTGTCAGATCCAACTGGCTACACTGAATTTGATTTGCAAAGAGAATAACATCCACCTTATTTGTGAGAATTCAAAGCTCTCAAGTGGCAGAGTGAATCTGACCTGGTTTATTTTTGCTGATTTAGAGTTCGTCTTTTTTAAAAAAACAACAACATGCCTCTCTCTTGAATGTTATTTCCTTTGCAGGAGAATGCCACGGTTTAAAATATATATATATATATATTTGTAAATTGAATAGAGTACACCGTTTTGGGGGCTAAATTTATCAACAATTGTTAAATATCCTTTAACGTAACCCTCCCCCGCAATAATCTGTGGGATTATGTTAGTACAGTGCTGGATGTCTCCGCATGCTGCTAATTCTGGGATCCATATGCTTCCCTTTGCACAAATGTTTCAAAATGCCTCAGCCATCTAGCTGGTCTCCATTAAAGTAAAACAACCAAGTAGTCAGTTTGTGCCCACATTCTCTCTAAACCTGTAAAATATTAATACATTTTATTCCGGCATTCATTGGTTTTTTTTACAAATCCTCTTTGTACCTTTGCGGCCTAGTAATTTGGGTGTTTCACAAAGGTGTCAGGAAATAAAGCTCTTAAGCCAACCAAAATTTTACTGATTAATACGCAGAGGCAATAGCTTCTCTGTAAAACATCTCCCTCCTGAGTCTTATGTCTGTTTACAAAATCCTCTTGCAGGGATGATCCCTGTTCAGTGCACCTGAGCATAATGGCTGCACCATCTCCACAATTCACTTAATAATGCAGCACCACGTGTAATTTTACTCCACAATAATTGGTGCAAATATATTTTTTACAGCTGTAAAATCTGCAGAAAATGAGTTTGTGCTATTACAGTTAGCATAGATACAAAAGCCAACTCACCACTGGCTAACTTTGAAACATTGCCTAGTCATCATCACTCTAACATGATACCTTCTCCTTTTCCTACATCTGTCTGCCTTTTATTTTCTTGCTAAAAAGTTTCTATATTTATGCGAAATCATAATTTCCATTCTTTGCTAATTTGAATTTACAATCTCATGGTTTGCAATGGTACTCAGTTTTGCTGTTTGTGATGTGAACTTCCTGAAATCTAATGTTGTTGACAAATATTACTATTTATTAACTTGTTGTGAATCCATACCCTTGATAAACAACAACAACAAGATTGCATTTGTAGAGCGCCTTTCACGTCTGGAGGACGTCCCAAGGCGCTGGACAGTGTACAGCATTTCAGACCTGAGCTGGGGTTGGGGAGGGGGAAGGGAGGGAACTGGCTGAGTGGAGGGGTGGGTGGGGGGTGGGGGGAAGGGGGGTTGGTAGGGGGTTAGGAGGTCACAGAGATAGGGTGGGGCGAGACCATTCACCTTCACCTATATAAAATGAATTGGGGATTTGATAAACCTGGACAGAAAGAATCATCAGATATTTGCTGAAGTTTTTTTTTTGACCTGTAGTGGAAATTGAGATGTATATTTATTAAAAGCAATGTATCTTTGTTTTGCTTTTGCTAAAGCACATTTCTCGCTCTTGACAAACATTCTGCTTTACCTCGGATTACAAATCATATCATGTCAATCGTGAGACAGATCTGCAGATCTGGGAACCCCCAGATATGTCATTTTGCAATTCAGACATGGAATCAAAGCCAGAAAGCCTTCAGAATTGTAGGCCAATTCCCAACCAACTCCTCTACTCTATGGGTCCATTCTAGGCTGTGTGTGAGATGTGTACATTGCAGTTAAAACCCTCAGGTCCAAATGACTCCCTCAAAATCCAAACGTGTTGGCACGTCCCTCCCCAGTGAAATGTCCTCACGTTGTTTCATTGCTGTCAGTGAGACCCTCGAATCTTCCCTTTGATGGAACTCATTTCGAATCCTATTATCACTTCTGTGTGTGTGTGTGTGTGTGTGTGTGTCTGTGTGTGTGTGTGTGTGGTGTGTGTGTGTGTCTGTGTGTGTGTGTGTGTGTGTGTCTGTGTGTGTGTGTGTGTGTGTGTGTGTGTGTGTCTGTGTGTGTGTGTCTGTGTGTGTCTGTGTGTGTGTGTGTGTCTGTGTGTGTGTGTGTGTGTGTGTGTGTGTGTCTGTCTGTGTGTCTGTGTGTGTGTGTCTGTGTGTGTCTGTGTGTGTCTGTGTTGTCTGTGTGTCTGTGTGTGTGTGTGTGTCTGTGTGTGTGTGTCTGTGTGTGTGTGTCTGTGTGTGTGTGTGTGTGTGTGTGTGTGTGTGTGTGTGTGTGTGTGTGTGTCTGTGTGTGTGTGTGTCTATGTGTGTGTGTGTGTGTGTGTGTGTGTGTGTGTGCCCACCGTGAACTTTTTTCTCCTCCTAC